AGTAGGTATTAGTAGTGACAGGAACGATTCTTGATCCTGTAATTCACAGGACTAAGAATCATTTCTGTTACTACTACTGGTAATTAGCAGTGTATCAAACACGTGATCAGCACTCACTTCGTTACTTTTTTTTTTTAATCTATATTTTATTAAAATTAGCAAATTATACATTTGTTGAGCAATTCAAAATGCTTACAACTCTTCTATATAAAAAGCGTTATGAATCTAATAGCTTCATATGGGCGGATTTGACGCAAGTAAATCTTCATGTGACAATACAGTAATTTGATATAAAATTAAAGATTTTGATTGGATGGTTGCTCTGCTTTTTTTCCTTATTTAGTAATTTGCAGGCAGACGATAATCACAACAAAGATCACATTAATCATGTGTAATACAAATGATTGGCCAGTTAGATAAATTTATTTCACATATTTGGTCATTACTCATAAGTATTATCATTGTATTACCAATGCGCAATAAATCTTTCATCTTTAAACCTCCAGTTACACCAGAGACTTTTCGTAAGAATAATGCTACCTCTAAAGTAAAAATAAGCAAAGCCGTTAATAAATATACTACATCTTCCAAAAAAGCTCAACGAGAACCTCAACTTTATGTAAATGTGGATCAGAGTATATCAAGCAACGTAACTATACCAGTACTAAAGCAAGATTTGGATGTAACTATACCAGTACTAAAACAAAGTAGACAAGATTTGAACAAGACTGGCGTTTTTACAAATGTAAGTTTATTTGTAATTTTTTTTTTATTGCGATAGTAAATTTTAATTTTTTTATAATTTATAAAAATATATTTAAATTATATCAAGTCAATTAAAAAGTCAAACAAGAATATAGAAAATCAAGGTTAGCTATATTTAATTGTAAATATTTATATATTTTATTAAACTAATAATGTTCGTAATACTGTATATAATATTTAGTACAAAAATTACCAAACAATAAAGATAAATGTATATTTTACAATAAACCTCCATACATTATAGCAATGCGTAAGATAGGTAATAACAATCGGTGGCAATCTTACAAAGTAATTAAACTTGGCTATTACCCATCTATCTCTAAATTTACTCCAAAAAAAAATGGCATTGCATATCAGATTCCCGATAAATATGAAATTGAAACTAATTTATCAGGATTATCTGTAAAATGCAAAACTGAATATCAGCCAACTGGTAATATTAGTTATACGATTAGTTGGGTAAATCCTTATGGCGATATAATATCAAGTAGTAGTATGACCTCAGCAAGTAATGCTGGAATTAAATTTTTAACGGTAAATATTAAAAATAATTAAATTTATTATTGTTATATTTATACATTTAATTTAAAAAAATAAATAAAAAAAATTCATTATAGGATATTTGTAACAAACCCAATACACATATTTCTGGAGTATTTTTATTTGGTTTTGATATTGAACATCTGCATAAAGCAAGAATAAAGGCACCTGTTAATCGTAAACGTTCTTATATAGAATTAGAGTCAGAATCTCAAAAAAACAAACAAATTGCACTAGTAGCTAAAGACTTAAATATTCAAATAGTAGATCTTTTTCATAATCATCGATTTATTGATTCTTCAGGCACAACGATTGTAAATCTTGAATCAATAAAACTTAACATTGCAAATAAAGCTATAACTCTCGATTATTTAACTAAAAATAAAGACCAACAAAAACATTATACTTCTCTTGTTCGGGTATGTGATGAGGCATTAATTTCTCGCGATGGATACCGGAAATTAGCAGCCGTAGATCCAAATATGGTTCGTGAATATTTAATCGAACAACGACGTAAAGAAATCGATAACCAAATGGAAAAATACTTGCCAATCTTATTATTTAATATCAATCAACCTTTAGAAGTAAAAAAAAGTAATGATAATTCGAGTTTTGACAAGATTATAACCATTAATAATCAAACTGAAAATGCAGTTTATCGATCAATCACATCTTTATTAATGGTTTTGGTTCCAGTTTTAACCACTTCTGATCCAATTATTCTCTATCCCGGTGATAAAATTAATATAAAAATTAGTGGTGATGGTAGAAATGTCGGTAGAAAGCAAAGTCATGTCATATTAGCAATTAGTATACTAAATGAAGGTGAAGCAGTATTAAGTCCAAAACATATATATAGGTAAAATATTTTTGTTATTATTATTATTATTATTATTAATTAACTAATTATTATAATATTATATAGTATTTGTCTGTATATTGGCAAAGAAAATTATAATTCATTAAATTGTATCTTTCAAAAATTCGCTCAGGAGCTTAAAGAATTAAAACATAATGGATTTGTAGATAATATGGGAGTTGTATGGCCTATCAAATTTTTTTTCTCGGGAGATTGGAAATATTTAGCACTTACATTAGGGCTTAATGCAGCAAACTCGAATTATTTTTGTTTATTTTGTAATTGTCATGAAAATCAACGTGCAAATATGGAATTAAATTGGAATAATGGATCGAATACATGTGGTAAATATTAAATTTTTTAAATTAAGATTTAATTTAAATAATTTATATAATTAAGATTTTATTATTATTTAGGATGTAAATATCCGATGCTTTTTGATATTATTGATGAAGGCAATTGGATACCTGACGAACTACATACTATGTTACGTATTTCAGATATATTATTACAATGTGCCTTTTATGAACTTTCAGCAGATAAAAAAAAATTCTTAAATACAAAAATATCGATAATCAATGAAATGAAGCGAATTGGTGTGCATTTTGAATTTTTTCCTCCAATAACTAATTCTAGTCCTTGGACTTGGACTCCTTTGATGGGACCTGATAAACTTAAAGTATTGCAAAACTTTCAGATAGCTAAATTTTTTAATCAAGATAGAGGAAAAGATATAGAACATCTTTGGCGTGAATTTTATAAACTTTATAGAATAATACGGCAACAACATTTAACAGACACGGAGATTGATTTATTTGCAGATCGTGCAAAGCAATGGGTTAAAGATTTTAGCCGACCAACAATAGGAACAATGAATTCACCAAATCAACGACAAGGAATGTATTCAAAAAAAAATGTAACGCCATATATGCATATGCTAACTCAACATATACCTAAGTTTATGCGTAGTTTAAAAAATCAAGGATTATCATTACGTCTATTTTCAACATCAAGTCTTGAAAAAAAAAATCACGAACATGTAAGAAATTATATCTAAAATAGATTTAATTTGTAATTTTTTTATTAATATCTAATTATATTTAGATACGGCTTTTTTTTTCTGGAACAACAATGGGTGGAGGTAAAATTCATAAACCTGTAATATATGATATTATAGTATATGAGAATCGACAGATATATTATCGAATTTATAATATTCCCATAACTTATTCACGTAAAGTTATTCAAATTAAATAAATAAAACTTATAATTCATTCATTTAATAATACCAAATATATTAAAAAATTTATTTTATTCTAAAATAAAATCTCGAACATCAGTTTTAAATGAACATATTACAGAACCACATAATAAAGGATAATGATGTTTTTTATATATATGTTCCTTCCAAATAAAATTAACCTCATATATTTCTGACTCATTTTCCATTAAGATATAAGCGGTAGTTCCTGACCGATCTTGTTTGCTACCCCATTTATTATCTTTCAATAAATTTCCTAATTCATCGTAACCTTTGCTTCCTTTAAAACTAACCGTATATTTTTTTTGTGATACAGTAAAAGAGAAAGTAGGAATGCGATAAAATAAAACAACAAATAGTCCTTCTGAAAAAGGCTCTAACCGAATTGTTTTGTCTTTAACTGCATTACGACCAAATTGAAGCCGTTTTTTTACTTGAATTATAAATGCGTTTCTAAATTGTTCAATATCATAGTTCGAGGGTGCAGTTATTGTATGTATATGAGGAATTATTGTATTGGTCGGATGCTTGGCTTTTTCATGTTTAACAAGAGAACTTTGAGACCGATAAGGATAGCGAAGGTTTGGCGGACAAAGATGGCAAAAATATGAATCCATTATTATGTAAGTTGTAAAACAACATGTGATTTGTTTATATACACAGTACAAAATATGCATGAAGATCATTTATTGAATTATCACATTGATGATCACATTGATGAGTCAAATCCGCCCATATGTAGAACTTGATCCAGCTTGTTTTCAACAAATGATTGAAGCAGCAGACTCACGTTTAGAAGGCTTCTTTAATCAAATGGTAGAAATGCTAATTCCTGATACTAGATCTACTTACAACAAAGTCGAGACAAAAAAAACTGTTGTAAGCTTGTACTATCTAATGGCGGGAATTAGAAATAAATTTGTAAATGACTTCAAGTTGGAAGTCAGTCTATATCTTTTGGCATCGGGAACATCACGCACTGCAATTGACACAATGCACAGTATCGGGGTCTCTTGTTGTTATCAGACTGCTAATAATTATATGCATAGGATCGTAAATGAACATCCTAAAAAAATAAAAGAATATTTTTCTGAACAGGTAAGTATATAATAAGTATTAAAAACGTCAATATTATATATTTGCTCTCATTGAATGCTAAGAGAAAAATTGTGCATTCTTGAATTTTTACTAATTTCTATTGGCAAAATTAGTAAAAATTTAAGAATACACAATTTTTCTCTTAGCACGGCTCAAAAATATCTTCAAAAATAAAAAAATTAAATTAGCACAATTAATAAATAAATTCATAATAAACCAAATATCAAACTACAAACATTTTCATACTGTAATGCTAATTAATAAATAAAGCAACTAAATTAAATGGTTTCGTATATAGGATAATAATTTGTACGTTTATAATTTGGATGATTATCATAACATTCATGAAAAAAGAAGGCCAGATTCTGTATACTTATCTGACACAAAACATATGGCAACTTGCGTTTGCAAACAAGTATCAGCCTGTGCGCTAGTTCCTCTAGTCTTCAATGACATTTTTTTTTTTTTTTTTTGGTAACGCATACTGAAGATGGGCCAGGCTTGTCAAGGCCCAACATTGAGCCACCTGACACCTTTTAATCAGACAATAGGCCGGCTT